GCATGAACTGTAGTAGTCTTTCATTCAGGAATTCTTACCCTAAGGATGCAACTGAACGATTTTTTAACTCACTGTGCGTTTGGTGTGAGATGTATACTGTGGGTACCTATATTTTTATATCATCCAAGGAGTAAGAATGGCAGCATATTGTATGAATCATCCTGTTTATGTTTTTAAAAGTTATTTAATAACTGCCATACTCTAAAAAAGGATTTTTGCTTTGCATGGTTTCCTTTGATAGAGTGCTGTGCTCTCTCTCTCCGAAAAGGATTTTGATGACACAATTGCTGAAGGAATAACTTTTGTCAAGTTTTATGCTCCATGGTAAGCAGCTATAAATGTATTTCATTAGGAATTAAGTACTAGAATACTTGAACTTATTTTTCAAGTCGTCTGTTAGCACTCTAGACTCATGTAGGTAAATTTTGTCCCATGTGTTGCATAGTTTATAGGGAGCTCTGATCTTGATGTGCTTAGGATCTGCTCATGCTACTGCAAATAAGGGAATGTTATCTTATCCATCTGATATGTTTAAGGGGGCAGGCTGATAGAGAAAACAGCAGAAGTGGGAGAAGGGAGGAGGAAAGGAGGGTGCTTCTTATGTAACTGAGTACTTTTTGTGTTCATACATCTAGCTTTGAGATGCAGCTTGGTTTAATACATAGAACTAGCCTCAGAGGCAGGAAGACCTGACTTCAAATACCACCTCTGCTATTTGTTAGCTGTGTGACCCTGGGCAAATCTCTTAACCTGTCAGTGCCCCCAGACAAATGTCTAAGACTATAAGTTGCAGAGCAGTTTACTGATCTGTGTTGGTGGAATTTCCTTACCAGAAGTTACCTATACTAATGAAATAACAAATCCAAACAAAAAAAAATTGGTTAAAAAATCATAGTGTTATCAAGTACAGTGTCCAGCTTTAGGACATGCCCAGCTAGATAATTTTGATTGACAAAATAAAAATCATCACAGGATATAATCTTGATTGAATTAAGTTCATCTTTGGAATTCCTGTGTTGATAATTTCTTGAAGTTCTTGGGAGATTATTTGAAAGAAAATTTATTTTTGGTAAGGGGGAGAGTTAGGGAAGAGCGAGGGGAAGGAAATGATGTGAAAAGTACAGGTGTAGCCTAGGGAGAATTTAAAGATTTACAATTTTCTCAGCCTAACTTGATAACGCTATACAAAAGAAATGAGTTGGACAGGCTGCAAAATGAATTGCAAGTGACTCTTGAATCCAGAGTGTTTAAAATAGATATTTATTCTATTCCTAGGTGTGGTCACTGTAAGAATCTGGCTCCCACATGGGAAAGCCTCTCCAAAAAGGAATTCCCTGGCTTGACAGGGGTCAAGATAGCAAAAGTAGATTGTACTGTTGAACGAGCTATTTGCAGCAGATATTCGGTAAGTGTAAGTAGTTTAAAGCTTTTCAGATAAATCTAGACATTGATCTCTTGAAATTTGAAGAAAGCCATCCTCAGTTTACTCACTTCCCTTGTTGAAGTAGGAAATTCTGGGCCCAGCACACCATAGATACACTATTTCTCTTTATCTAATGCTGTTGAAGAAAATTTTCCCTTTTTTCTGAGGTTTTTTTTCCCCTCTTGGGAGATTTCTCCTAAAAATCAAAAGAAGGTGTTTTTTTTTTAAAAAAGCCATTGCCTATAGCTTTGCCTCCATTAAAAAAAAGGGAGGAAATTTCTTGATGTGTGGTTTTTTTTATAGTTTTAAGAAGTTTTATAGTTTTAAGAAGAGTGTGTCTAAGAATTGTCAGTGGAGTCCTAGATTATTTTAGTTGTTACCAACAACGTGAGAGATGTTAGATTGTGGTGCCACCTATGGGACTATATTGTATGTTTCATCAGTTCCCTGTTGGTTTTTTTCTGCTAGATTTTATCAAGGTTATAGCTTTGATTAGTTCTGAAATCATTCAAAATTTATAGTAGGTATCTTTAGGTAAATGAATGCTTACTTGTACAAAATCATGCCACTTTGATAGCTTATTCTTAAAGACTATTACCAGCTGATAAGACAAGTCCATCAATAAATCTAAGTCCAGTGTAAGGGATTATTTATTTAACTGCAGACCTCTGGCTTATAAAGGACTATTATCCAATTAGGGAGAAGAGAAGACTTAGAGTGAACATGACATTTGTCTTCAATTTCTTTGAAGGGCTATCAGTTGGAAGAGGGATTAAGCTTGTTCTACTTGGCCCCAAAAGGCAAAACGAGGACCAGTGGGTAGGAGTTGTAGAAAGGCAGATTTCCATGTGATGTAAGGAGAAATAGTTAGAGCTATTCAACAGAAGAACGGGTTGTCTGGGAAGGTATGGGCTCCCCTCACTGAAAAAGCCAGATGGCCACTTTGTTGAATGTGTTGTGAAGTGGGATCTTGATCAGGGATGAGTTGAGCTTGGTGGCCCCTGGGGTCCCTTCCAAATCTGAGATTATTAGGATATCCAATAATATGTTTATGCCTTATAAAAATAATTGATCCTGCTTTCTTTAACACACTTTTGATGTAAGAAAAACCTCTTTTTAGCAGTTTTTTAAAAAATCTTTAAATTGCAAATAAAAGTTTCATAATTAAAATTTTTCCATTTTCTGATTGATGGACATTAGCTAGCAGACAACTGTACAACAGAACTCATTAGACATAACCAAAGAATAAGTGATGAGTTGTAGACATAAAATTGTATCCTTTAGGATGAGTTATGGTCTTCTTTTTAATTGTCTTTTAAATTCAATAGTGAGTAAACATTTCCACCCCTCTGCTTTTTTTAAGATGTCTGGTAAGATTTGCTTTATTTTAAAAATTAAAGAACTTCTTTAGATTTTGACCATAATGATGGTCAAGTCCAAGAAGACTCATCTAATCTGGATCTAGTTGGCTAGCTTAAGAAATGATTTATGTATGATTGAAAATACTCATTTTAAAATGTGCATTTCTGTGTTTTGCATCTTTAAAGGTACGAGGCTACCCGACATTGCTGTTCTTCCGTGCAGGAGAAAAAATCACTGAACACAATGGAGCTAGGGACCTTGAAACATTACATAGCTTTGTCTTGCGACAGGCAAAAGATGAACTGTAGAATCTCACTTGGGAGTAATTTCTCTGACTGTTCTCCTATGCCCAACTTGTAGGAGTTAATCCATGCTAATGTTACTGAGTCTCAAATGGTGGTTATTTAGAAAACTGAATGTACTAAATTTGTGATATCTTCTGTGTGTGTGTTTTTTAAGCCAACACACTGTACTGATTCTTTATTAGGTTTGTCTGGGTAAATATCTAACAAATAGTCACTGTGCAAACTGAATATTTTCAGCGGCAGTAGAGCAATAACTGCCCTTTGACCTTCCTTTGATGAAATTCAAATGGTTTCCTTTAAGACATAAATAGAGCTGAAGAAAATCAAATTAAGTGCATTGGCAGACTATTTTTGGCGTTAGGATAATCTTGGTCAAAAGCAGCTGCCAAAGTATAGTTTGTGAATTGCCCACAGTTGCTAGAAAGGTGGGAACCTGTAGAACTCCTGTTGCCTTTTAAAGTAAAACTCACCACTTAAGACTTTCGGTAACTTATTTGAAAAAGGGTTTAAAGATCAAACTCCTACTTTTGGAAGATCCTGAAATGCCACCACCATGGGATTCTCATTTCTGTTCCTGTTTCATCATGGGAAGTTAGCCAAAATGAAAGTGATGGTACTTTTAACCTGTGCCTGAGTAAGATTATGTGATGCCATAATTGTATGTGTGTATTTGTCTCTCTAGATGTCAGGTGAATTGTTACTTGAGATTCTCTCATTTGTTCCTTATGGGGCAAAAATCACACTGCTTCATTTCTCTTTACTTGAAGCTGGAGTATTCTCAAACTTTAAAGTTTGATTATTCTACTCATAGAGGAGTAGGAGGGGTATCAAAGAGCCTTTTGAAAAGTATCTACAAGCTCTCCTCAAACTTGGAAAAGGGCTATTTTAGAAACTTTGAAAGTAGCCCTGAGTATATTCTATTAATACATTTTTTAATTCCTTAGCGAAGATTCAGATTAAACTCTTCACCTGAAAAAAAATAAGAAGTAGGGTGGCCTTTTGTTTGATCATTCAGCTAGGTGTGGTTATAAGAACATGAAATACTGCTGCAGTGTTCTAAATGCAGAACCGTAACTAGAATAAGCTGGCTGGGGCTTTGGCACAGGGCACTGAAATTTAAAGGGCACAACAATTTAACACATCTACCTAAGGTAGATGCTGCTGTAATAATTGCTTCCTCCTGCTCAATTAAATTCATTTAGTTATATGTATTATTTTTCACACTGTAAATTCACAAAGGTTATTTGGGGGCTTATTTTGTACTTTGTCCTATACATACATTTTGTGCTCCTTGCCCTATGGGCCAAAAATTGCTAGTTACGGCTCTAACTGTAACCTCTCCAAAAATTTCCTAAAAAATATAAGTGATCTCTTAAGAAATTTAATTGGAATATGGATGCTTTGTACTGCCTTGAAAGATGATTCTATGGTGTTCGAGTGTGCTTTTCTCTACCCTTCCCCCAAACCCCTTGTGACCAGAACCAAAGAATTGTTGGTATGTGTATAAGTCGTTTTGGAAATAAGCAGCTCCATAGCTAAATTCATTGAAGTTGTTTCTCTTGTGAAACATAAAATTAATTACATCTTGAGTAGCCGCCTTGTTTCTAGTCCCCTTCTAAAAATTCTTCTTCCCCATCACCCTAACTTTCCCCTCATTTCCCACTTTTTTCCTTTCTCTATTCCAACCCAAGATATCTCATTTAGCACAAGGTAACAGGTGGCAAGAATCTTACCCATTATAATTATATACATATACATATGTGTGTGTGTGTGTGTGTATATATATATATATATATATATATATATATATATATATATATACACACACACACACACACACACACATATGTATACATGTATTTTTTTTTCTGGTACTTTAAAGCAGAGAATTAACTAGACCATCTTACCCATCTCTGCCTAAGGAAATCTTTATTAAACACACATGGTTGGTTCACAAATGGTTTTTAAAAACTGTCTAGAGAAGCACAATCCTCATGAATGGCTGGAGCTTTGCATCATGAGTATCTTGTATTAAAAATCAAAGTGGTACAATTTGTTTACAATGAAACTTTCTAAATAAACTCTTTTTTTTTAAAGTCTAGTCTTTCTTTAAATGATACAGCAAAAATGGATATAAAATAATGGCAATAAATTATAGTTTATATTTACAAAAAACTGTAAGTGCAAATAGTTATAGATCATAAATGTATTGTTTAACCAGTTTAGCATGAAATAGATTTCTTATTACATGGTTGCCCAAAAACAGATGTTTAAAAAATAATCTAAGATTTAATCTGAGCTTGACCACCTCTACCTGAGACTGTGGTTCCTTTTCTTAAACAGTGTAATCACCCAACCCACTTTATGAAGTATGAGGGTACCTTCTGTTCACTTCTCTACAGACTTTCAATTTCACCTTTTACATTTTTTTTTATTCTGGGATAATGTATGCCATAATAAGAGGAGGGGAAAAAAAACAGCAAACCTACTTTGCTGACATAGGTGGATTGCTAGATTCAGTTTTCTGTCATTTGCTGTAATTTTCAAACAGGAGCTCCTAAAAGGTGGGGTATAACACTGTTTTTACAAGTTATACAGTCTGTCAAGAAGACAACTGTTAAAAGTACATCCCCCCCAGTCCAGACTCACCTCAAAGGAAGATGGGCCAAGTGCTTAGTACTTAACATATATAAATTCAGTGTATGCTCAGACCTAAGGGAAAAGAGATCTAGTAGGAGGATTGAGGCATGGAAAAAAAAGTTTACTTTGACTGAAATAAGTGTATTCTCATACCAGCAAAGCTTCAACACACATGTATAGCAATTATTCTTTAAAACAAGGCACTTCCTGAAGCCCTAGGATATGCCTAGGGGTATTAGTCTAATTTTTTTTGTCATAAATGAACCCTAAGACCAATGATTTGCCTGTAAAATTTGTCCCCAAGCTTATTTACTTGTAACATTTACCTTCGACAGACTGATATTCACATTGACATTACACAACCAATAATAGCTTTATTTCCCCTAAGTTTCACTCTTCACTCTTGAATAGCTTGATCCAAGCTAAAACAAACTAATTTTGGCAGACTTTTCTTTGGGAAAATACTTCAAACATATTTCTGTAGTTAACAAATCCTCCTATCATCTTGTTACCCCCATACTAAGCTTCCTCCAACCAGCGCCTACTCACATTATTTATCCAGTGAGCAATTTATCAATTAAAAAGTCCTTTAATTCTTCTTTTTTTTTTTTTTTTGCATAAGGCACCAACATGGAATTGTTTGACAATTTACTCAAATTCAGCCATGCCTCTGTAGCTTTTCTCACAGCAGATGTCACCTAGGAATCCAGGACGGAATTTCATAGGGTTTTTACCAGGTGAGATTTTGGCTTTCAGGTCAATGACATCCACAAGCTCTCACCACCATATTTCTGTATTTTTTCAAGATGACATTGGAGTTGTCATCAAAGTAAAGCACTGAAATAGCATTTAGCTTGGTAGGTGCACAACATGGTTTAGGAACGTAATCAGGATTCATCAAGTGAACCTATTAAAAAAGAAAAGAAAAGTCACAAACTGTATTTGTTGTCTCATGTACTGCAGTCAGAAAATCAAATCTGTGTACTCACTAGAGTCTGTACAATTGCATGGTTTGTTGCATTCATGTGTGCATTGAGAGGAAAGGAACATTCTCCATCACAGTAATTGGCTGCATATCCTTTTGGTGCAATTATCCAATCCTTTAGAACAAAACAACAGCAGTGGTTTAGGCCTAAACAGTCTACTATAGAAATTAAATTCTAACTGATTCAGGTTCCAATTTTATTTATTTAAAATGACTACTAGATTTCCATCTCTAATGTAAATGTGATCTCCAAAACTCAGTCTCCCTTCTATGACCCTACTGTCCTAGGTTTTTTCTATAAAAACTTTTGGTTTTAAATGAGGAAGTATAGTTTTCTCCCTTTTTTATCCCACAAAGTTCCACTAGTCCTCAAATTTATGACAAAAAACCATTTGAAGAGCTCATCCATGCTGTTTGGCTACTCAATATAGACTATTTACATCAATAATCCCCATTACTGACATAACACCCCAGGCTGCTTTCAGTTTCTCAAGAAATATTCCATAATTTTCAAAACAAAATTGGTTATTTTTTTTTTTTACTCTGGGGCACAAAAGTACCTCATTGCTTCATCCTGTGGCATCCTTTGCCAGTGAAGTACAGGCCCTGCCAACTGGAAAGGCTAGTGATAGCCTGTCATCTAAAAACCAACCTCTCTATGTTAGGATATATTTATCAGTAAAAAGTTGGCCACTGGGTGATGAAGGTTTTGGCTGTAACAATTCATAAAACTATCTGCTAGGTTGTAGGTTCTCTCTCAAGGATATACCTGAACTCTTAAGTCACTGATCTTTGTGAACTGCCATAGGGTTTGGGTATCACAGAAGGAAGGTGTCCATGATCAAGGATCTTTTCCTAGTGCATACTACTATATCCAGAGAACTCACCTGCCATCCCAGGTCTTGGAAGCTCACATAAAGTTCATGCTTTCTGCAGGCTGTTTTTAAGTCACTGCTATTATAATCTGTCAGAGGAAGCAGAGTCATAATCACATATGTTAAACAAACTTAGAAGTAAAACAAATCCAATGATATTTGTACAGGTGGTCAATTTCTTTCTTTTGGGGGCACTTTTCTTATCTATCCATACAGGAATCAATCAGCCAGCAAATATTTATATAGGACATTCTGCTAGGCACCAGGGGGATAAAAAGTCACTGGGGTCACTGCCTTCAGTGATTTTACAACCTAGATGGGAAAAACTACACACACACACACACACACACACACACACACACACAGAAAGAGAGAGAGAACTAACAGTAAACTATGCATTCCTGTTATAAATCTAGTCCTATAATAGTGCATATTCTTTTTTGATGTGTTGCCTCCTTGCTAATATTTTGTTTAAAATTTTTGCATCAATATTCAGTAGGGATAGTGGTCCATAGTTTTATTTTTCTGTGTTGACTCTCCCTGGTTTAGGTATCAAGACCATATGTAAGTTATAGAAGGAATCTAACAGGGTCTCTTTTCCTTTTCTTTTTCAGACAGTTGATGTAGTATTTGAATTAATTTTTCTTTCAATGTCTGATAGAATTCACTTTAAAATCCACATGGTCCTTTGTTTTCCCTTTGGGAGTAGATTATGGCTGGTTTAATTTCTTTTTCTAAGATGGGGTTATTTAAAAATTATATTTCCCATTTCATTAGTCTCAGTTCATAATTCTGTAAATATTCATCCATTTCATTCAGCTTGTCAATTTTACTGGCATACAGTTGGGCTTCATTTGGGGTTTTCTTGGCAAAGATACTGGAGTCATTTGCCATTTCCTTCTTCAGCTCATTTTAAAGATGAGGAAACTGAGGCAAATAGGGTTAAGTGACTTACCCAGGGTCACATAGCTACTAAGTGTCTGAACCTAGATTCAAATGCAAGTCTTCCTGACTCCAGTTAGCTAATGACTAATGAATCAATTCTATGCATTTAAAAACTTTTTTATTGGTCCTCTTTGTTGAGGGCATCACTATCATTTACCCTCCCTTCCACTACCTTCAAATACTCCCTCTCATTAAAAAAAAGAGGGAAAAGTCCTTGTAAAAATAAGCATAGACAAGCAAAAAAAAATCTATAGTGACCATGCCCAAAAATTTATTTCTCTTTCTTTGCCTTGAATCTATCACCTCTCTGTTAGTAAATGGGTAATGTGCTTCATCATCTACCTCCTCTGAAGAGGTGATTGGGCATTACATTGATCAGAGTTCTTAAGTCTCAAAGTTCATTAGAGTGTTGTCCTTACATAAATTATTCTCTTTGTTCTACTTCCGAGAATTTTCTGAAATTGTCTCTTTTGTCATTTCTTACAGTTCAATAATATTCTATTATATTCACCACTCACTTGGTTTTCAGTTCTTTTTTTTTAACTTCCCTTCAGGTTCAGGAAATTTTTTTTGTTCCAACCCTTCCCTCCCCAGTATTATTCTTCCTCCTACTCACCCCATCCCTATTCCCACCTGTTTCCCTATTCAATTTGATTATTCCTACACCAAACTATGTGAGTATGTGTGTGTGTGTGTGTGTGTATTCAACCCTTCTTCATGCAGTTTATGACTGAGTTGTATCTGATCTCATTCCCCTACCCTTTCTTCCATATTTATATACTCTTCTTCTTATGCACCACAGTTTAAGAAATAGCAAGTTCTTCCTCCTTTCTACACTAGTATATTTCTTTTACTCTTCTTCCTTCTCTATTCTTTCTCTGAACCCTCAGAACATAACCAATCTACCCATCAGGTTCTGTGGTTTGTTTTTTTTTTAATTTCCCTTAATACCTTTTGAAGACAAGAAGTTTCTTTCTTCTTCTCCTATTAGAATGTCATCATTATATAGTTCAATCCCCCCAAACTAGAATGTTTATTAAATAAAGCATGCCATCATACAGTACAATACAATTGCTCAAATAAATTTCCCTTTCTAGATTTGGATGGACTCTTGTGTTTCAAAGTTCCTGTTCAGCTCTGTTTTTTTCCTTCAGAAGTGCTTGAAAGTCCTCTATTCCATTAAAGATCCATTGTTCTGCAGGATTATACTCAACTCTGCAAGTTATTCTTGGTTGTAAGCCAATATCTTTTGCTTTTTGGAATATAAGCATGCCTTGGAGATATTGCAGGTTTGGTTCCAGACCACCATAATAAAACAAATATCACAATAATGTGAGTCACAAACTTTTTAGTTTCTCAGTGCATATAAAAATGATGTTTATACTACATTGTAGTCAATTAAGTATACAATAGCATTATGTCTGAAAAATGTACCTACCTTAATTAAAAAATATTTTATTGAAAAAAATGTTCACCATCATCTGAGCCTTCAGCAAGTTGTAGTCTTTTGGCTGGTGGAAGGTCTTGCCTTGATGTTGGTGGCTGCTGATTGATCAGAGCGGTGGTTGCTAAAGATTAGGGTGGCTCTGGCAATTTCTTAAAAAACAACAATGAAGTTTGCTGCATAAATTGACTCTTCCTTTCACTTGAATACTTAGAGGCCATTGAAGGATTACCAATTGGCCTAATTTCAATATTGTCATGTCTTCAGGAATTGGGAGGCCCAAGGAGGGAGACAGACAGGAACAGTTGGTTGGTGAAGTAGTCTGACCACACAACATTCATCAGTTAAATTTGCCATCTTATATGGGCATGGTTTGTAGTGCTTCAAGACAATTATAACAGTAACAAAGATCACTGATTACAGCTCACTATAACAGATAAAATAATATGAAAAAACTTGAAATGTTTCAAGAACTATTATAATGTGACACAGAGACACAATTGTGAGTACACACTTTTAGAAAAATGGTGCTAATAGACTTGCTTGACACAGGGTTGTCACAAACCTTCAATGCATAAAAAAAGAGAAATTCAATATCTGCAAAGCACATATATGCCTGCATTGTATTCTAAGATCTCTCATTTATAGGAAAAGTTGTGAAATTGCCACATCTTGTATGATCCTGACAACAGTTCGTTGGACTCTTTTCTAGAAACTTTTGGTATTTTTCCTTGATGTGGAAGCTCTGGACTTTGGCTATGATGTTCCCAGGTCTTTTCCTTTTGTGGTTTCTTTTAGGAGGTCATTGGTGGATTCTAACTGCACTTTGCCTTCTGGTTCTAACAGATCTGGGCAGTTTTCATTTATGCTTTTCTTAAATGTCATATGCAGACTTTTAAAGAAGTTGTGGTTTTCAGTGTATCTACTGATTTTTAAGTTATTCCTCTTTGTCCTATGTGGCAGGTCACTTATAACTGATATCACTTCTCTTATATTTTCTTCTTTTTTTCAATCATTTGATTTTCTTCTACTATTTCTTGCTGTCTCATGGAATTCTGGATTTCTGTTTGGTCTGTTTCAATTTTCAGGGCTTCTCTTACTTAAAGTTATTTTTTTGTCCTTCTAGTTCTTTCCTCTATAGTTTTTTTGGTTCATTTTTTACCTTTTGCTCCATTTCTTCTAGGTATTTATTTAGTTTGTGGAAAGTCCATGTTTTACTTTGAGTCTTGAAGAGTTATGGTGCTATTATCTCTAGATGTACAATAATTCTTTATAGTGGTTGGTTTTTCTTAGGTTTATTCAACTTCAGCCTTAGTTTGTATGTGTCCCTCAGAGTTCTGTCCTGATCCTTCTTCTCTTATCCATCTATACAATTTCATTTGGTGATCTCATCAGCTCTCATGGATTGAACTGCCATCTCTATGCTAATGATTCTCAGATCTACTTATCTGACGGTAAGTTCTCCACTCTCACATCTCCAACTACCATTCAGACATCTCAAACTGGATATCCAGAAGACATCTTAAACGCAAATGGAAATCATTGTCTTTCCCCTTAAACCCTCCCCTCTTCTTCCTTCCTTCCCTATTAACATAGAGAGCAACACCATCCTCCTGATCCCTCAAGCTTGCAACCTAGGAGTCATTCTAGACTCCTCACTATCTCCCACTTCCTGTATCTAATTTGTTGCCAAGGCCTGTTGATTTCACCTTTGCAACATCTTTTGAATATGCTTTCTTCTCTCCTCTGACACTGTCCCCAGTCCAGTGTTGTCCCTCATCAACTCATCAATAGTCCACACCTGGACTATTGCAATAGCTTGCTGATGGGTCTGCCTGCCTCAAGTCTTTCCCCACTCCAATTTATCCTCCATTCAGCCATGAAGTTATTTTCCTAAAGCATAGGTCCAGCCTTGTCACCCCCCCCCCAACTCCAGTGGCTCCTTATTGCCTCCAGGATCAAATACAAAATACTCTGTTTGGCATTCAAAACCCTTCATAACCAAGCCCTCTCCTACCTTTCCAGTCTCCATCACATATTCTTTGATCCAGTGACACTGGCCTCCTAGCTGTTATACAAACATGACACTCTATCTCTCAGCTCTGGGCATTTTTTATGGCCATTCCCTATGCCTGGAATGCTCCCCTTCCTCCACTCCACCTACAAACTTTCCAACTAAAGTCCCAACTAAAATGCCATCTTTTACTGGAAGCCTTCCCAAATTCTCTTAATTCTAGTGTCTTCCTTCTGTTAATTACTTTGTCTTCATTCTTTCCTCTATGTATATTTGTTTGCAAGGTATCTCCCCCATTAGATTGTAAGAACAGGAAGTGCCTTTTGCCTCTTTTTATATCCCCAGCGCTTAGCACAGTACCTAGAACATAGTAGGTGCTTAATGTTTATTGCCTGATTAAATTGGGGCTTTGTTCCTGGGCTAAGCTCTGCCAGTGCTATACTTTTGGGTGGGATGGTTGGGACAGTTTGGTTTTTCCCAGGGTCCCTTGTGTTCTTGTGCTGACCTGGTCTCTCTGAGGGTCAGAAACTGGCTTTTCACAGCCCCCAGTGGCATTTCAGGACAGTATGATAGGGACATTGGAAAACTGTATTTCCTTTTTTGCAAAAGAAACTTTACTTAACAAAAATAAAACAATCCCCTGCCCCTTAACTACACACATGATATGACCAGAACATTTTGAAGGA